ATTTACATGCCTGTAATATCTTTTTGATCTTTGATACGGTTCCTATTGTTACATCTTTTTTTTTTTATTTTATTTACTTGTAATCTTGATAATTTATGCAGGGAAATGTTTTACGAAATACATGCAATAACAACAAAATGTTTTGGAAACTTCATGTTTTTAATGATTCCAGAATGTTTTTTTTTTTTTGTTTCGTTATCTTCCTCCTTTTATTCTCGTTAAGACTTTCGACCAAAATGAAAGAATATTTTAATAAGATAAAATTTTACATGTCAAAAATCATTACAAAAGTACTTTTGCAAAAGTCAAATTTTCAAATAATACGCGCGAATTTCGTGCGAGATCGTTTGATAAAGAGTAGGTCCTCGAGATAATCTTCCGAGTAGGTGGAGACAGCAGCACGTGAATGTTCACATTCAGCGCGCGTTCGAGCCTCGGAATCCCGAGAATCGCGAGAAAACGGGATCAATAAAATCTTCAAGTCTCGCGCATGACGACGTTTATTTTACGAATTTCTTAGGGTTATGAGATCAGAACCGTAATGTAAAAACCGTGTTGCGTCGGATGCGAACAGGTGAACAACATAATAGATTCAAATTAAATGCGGAACAATGTTCGAAGGTGCCATCGCGGCGTTCTTGAATCGACTTCTCGGCAAGTACATCGAGGATTTGGATACCGAACAATTCAACGTTGGTATCTTCTCTGGCGATACTTGCCTTACCGATCTTAAACTAAAGCCTGAGGCATTGGTAAGCAAATTTCTGTTTCACACACTTTACGAAGTAACGAAATGAGATGCAAAAGTAACGTGCACCTTCTTGTTCACAGTATCAACTTGGTCTGCCTATTAAGGTGGAAGTTGGTCTGATAGGGAGAATCGTTTTAAAGATACCATGGTCTGGACTATTTTCTCAACCGATTATTCTTTGTATCGAGGTAAAAGACTCAGTATACAAATTGGTAACAAGTGTGTAATATTTGCAAGCTGACCTCAAATGACAGATAATTCAGGTAATGTGTTAATTTTTTTTCAAAGGACATTTATGTAGTGGCTGTGCCTGCTGCTTATGGCCCGTACGACGCAGAAGTACAAAAGAAATTGTTAAGGGCAGAAAAAAGAAAAATATTAGAAGATTTAAGGGAAGATGAAGCATTTAAAGCAGGTGATTTTTATAAACATACAAATCAAATGTGCACGACAACTGACTCTGTGACTAATTTCAGAGTTGTTTGATAATTTATTGGCATCTGTGACAAAAAACTTCCAAATTAGTATAAATAATGTACATATTAGATATGAGGAAAAGCTAAATGGGTCTCTATGTGCTTGCGGTATCTGTATTCAAAGTATATCAGTCATGACTACAAATAGGTAGGCATTTAATTTTCTATAGTTGTTTTAATTTTAGTTGGAACAACATGTTTTCACTATATTATTAAATTGCAGTAAATGGAAACCTGGTGTTTGTGGTAGTAATTCAAATACAATTTACCAACTAATAAGAGCAGAGTCCTTGAGCATATACATGGACCATGATTCAGAATCTGCTCTCACAAACAGTGACACAAGGTATGACTGGGACATGTCCAGCCTTCTAGCATGGAAAACTACAATGCACAGAGCTTTGCAAACCTTTGGCATGAAGAATAAAGAGTTTCAGTTTTGTAAGTTCACAGTTACATTTATGTGTAAACGTAATTTCACGTTTAAATGCGAATAAGGAAACTAACAAAAATGTTACATTATAGTGTTAAAGCCATTTACCGCGAAGATCAAAGTAATTATACATAAAGGAAATGAGACACAAACATCTCGCATGTTGGTTGACATTGTGCTTCATGACGTGGCAATGCAAGTTTCCAAAGTGCAATATATTACGTTCTGTCATCTTTATAATTCAGTGTTACGCGCAATAATCAACAAGTATGTATATTTTTTTTTTTTTTTAGTTGATTTCATTCATATTTTTGTAATGTTATTTCAGACCATATATAAAATATCGTCCGAGCGACGACGTCAAGAAAAATCCATCAGCTTGGTGGAAATATGCTTATAATTCTACTTTAGATTACAATGTAAGACCCTACACGTGGGCAAGAATCATTGAGCACAGGCAGAACTACAGGAAGTACAAAGAAGCATGCCTGCAAAATTTGCTTCGGCCAAACGATACAGAACTAAAGCTGGACTTGCAAAAGTACGAAGATTGCCTGACTATCTTGAACATGGTAATAGCTAGAGAGCATGCTAAGCAGGAATTGAAAAATAAAACTATCGAGGAGAAACGTCAAAACATGAATACCGATATTTCAGTACAAAATGTGGCAGGAAATGCAACATTGATTAAACAGGTGCAAAGTAACGATACTGAAGAGCAAAAGATTAAAGCATCGTTGCATTATATTAGCAACGATTCAGGAAGGAGGATAAAATTGGAAAAACTACCTCAGCCAATTGGTACAGAATCTGTCTGAATTTGTCTTCACCTCCTGTTTATGTGGACACGCGACGAAGATAACTCTTTATATCCTGTTACAGATTACAAGTTCAATTTTACTTTGGCAAACTGCTGTTTGAGCCTTTTAAGCCATGACAGAGAAATTCTTGTTGTAACTGTAACCCAACTCTTAACGAGCGTGGAAATACAACCTCTGTTGTCCGCGTTCAAGGTGTCTGCAAGAGCCGAGAGTTTCGTGATCGAAGGTGTCTCCGCGGAAGGTGATCTAGTACCATTAATCACAGTCGACAACGTTTTGACAGGTATTTTGACAGGAATTTTGAATCGATTAAAGGTTACTCGCTTTCCGTCAATTTTTACATTGTTACCTATTTCTACAGGAAATGTATCGACCAACTTTTTGGCAGTAGATTTTGAGAAGAACAGAGAAAACGTGGATCCGACGTTCGACGTATCCATAAAGCTGGAAGCCATAGAAGTGACTTACTACCATGTAATAATAACGTTATAAGACAAGCATGTATTTAGAGGTACTGATTTATTCACCAAAAAATGATACCTTATTGAATTTTAGCACGCCATGGTAGAGATCATTCAATTCTTCAAGCTTGATGATTCGAACATGCAAACAACAATTCTGTGGGCGTACAAGTTATACAAATACGCGAGAAGGAACTCACTGGTTTTGGTAGATCATATTATATCTCAAACACTTCGGATTAATTTCAAAGTGGATGTTAAAGGGCCGTATATCGTATTTCCTGAGTACGGATCGATACAAAAGTGCGTACAATGCGAAAAGTTAATAAATAATTCACAAGCTTGCTCGAGTCTGGAAATAACAGATAGGGATTTTTAGAGGTGGGCACATTCTTATCGTGGATTTTGGTAATGTGAGTTTGTCCAATGAGCTACAGGCTGTCAATTTGCAACTCGAAGACGCGACGCTCATGGAGTTGGAAGAATTACTGTATGATAGGATACACGTCGAGCTTTCTGGCGCACAGATTCTGTTTTGTCACTCAGGTACTATCTATTTTTAAGTCCTTCCTCCGAGCTCCAATGGCGTACGTTTGTCTAAAGTATTTCATTGTAGGAGACGACTGGAGATCAGTCAGAAAGAAGAAAGATTCCGAGTATCACTTTTTGCCAAAGATACAAGCAACCACGACCATTTCATGCAGTATAAAACCGGAGTATCATCAGTTACCAAGGTTCTTCCCAACTTTGTTCTTGTTTGGCAACGCATGAAGTCAGATTTATCTATAATTACATCTTGTTATTTTTTCTCTTTTCAGAATCAAAGTCAACGTTTCCATTTCGAGTATAAAGTTCAATTTATCAGAGAACAAGATACGACTGATCGTTCATTTCCTGAACCTGCTAACGTTAGCGTACCAACAAAGCGTGGAGAAGTACAGGGGCGATTTGAAACAGTACACGTGCAAAAGTGATCCGAACGAGATCTTCACGTCGATAAAAGAGCTTAGAGGCGTGCAACGTAGCGTCTGCCTGTCGTCGATCGAGATGATACAAAATAAAATCACGCATGTGACCAAGGAACTTCTGACGAATCACGTTCAAAAACTCGATAGGTAACGAAGTAAGACTAAACATTAAAGTACAAAACCTAGCCCTCGATATTTCGATAAGCTGCTGTTGTCCCATTACGAACGAACTCATGTGCACGTTTCAATTCATTTTGTTTCATGCGACAGAAGTGTCGTGTCTTCCGAGGTCAGTGAAGAGGATTTGGAATTGCTATCAAAGACTATAAGTTTGTCTGGATTTGACGACAACGTGTCCCCGTACAATCACATCAATCTCTTGTTGAGATTTGCTGTTGGAGAGGTATTTTCCTTGCTAAAAACAAATGTTGCTTGTTATTTGGAATAGTCAGTTTTTCAATGTGCTTTTGAATGTCTAGTTATCAGTCCATTTGGGGATTATTCATTACGGAAGAGAGGAGCCTTACCTGAACTTGAGGCTGCACGCTTTGTATTGCGAAACCGCGGTAATGCAGTACGGACCAGCCGTACAGTTTGGTATAGGATCCATTCTCTTGGTAGATAAAACAAACGCGGGAGTAACTGGATCATATTTGGAACTAATATCCACCGAAGAACCGCACGAGGTTTTTGTTTTATCGTATCGAAAGGTACTCTGACTGTGAATAGACTCAAGATTTGTTTTTTCCTTTTGTTTCCATCACTAACGCATTTTTTTTTTTTTTTTTTTTTTTTTAGGTTAAGTCGAACTGCCCTGACTTCAAATCCCACTTCAAAAGTATCGAACGATCTCTCGTTGTAAATATATTGAACGTTAACGTAAATTTACACAGACCTGCGCTATTGAAAATTCGGAAGTACTGGTATAATTTAGTTATGTACGTAGTAGACTATCTTTGTCAGTTCACGCGATGAAAGAGGAAACTTGTATGACAGACAATTCTTTTCTAGCATTTTTGAAAACAACAATCTCGTCAATTTCATGGAGAGCATGTGTCACAGAATTGCACATTGGAAAGCGAAAGAAGATGATCCACCTATCCCACCTGGTAAAGAGATTATGACATTATTATCAGTTATAATATAATCAACATTATAATGATATTAATTATGATATATTTAATATTACATAATATTACTATTAATGAGAATCCCACTTGGTAAAGGGATTATGATATTATCAGCTACAATATAATTAATATCATATAACGTTACTATTAATAAGAAATTATATTTCATTTTTTGTTTTCTTCTTTTATTTCAGGCGCTATCAAGTTGAATTATTCTGCTCGGCTTAGCGCCCTCGTTGTACGATTTTGCGACAAGGATCTCGATTTGATAGAAATACAGATCTCGGGATTGGAGAACGACTGCATTTACAATGCCAATGAAAGGATGGTGTTACGCGCGCACCTTAGACATCTATCGATTGAAGACTTGAGCGAGGACACGCTTTATTCAAAGGTGAACCACGAATCAAACCTATTATTAATTAGCAATATCACGCATGCAAGTATCCTCAACTCGAAACTTAATCGTTGCAAGATTTTAACCACGGAAGAGGACAGGGTTCTCGATTTGAAGTACGTGAGACACATGCCAAAATTGTACAAATGCTCGGACATCGATACGAAGCAGGACGACGTGATGTCGGACGGGACGTTCAAGCTTTCCATTGGAAGAATGAATTGCGTGCTCGCTTGCAAAATTCTGTACGACCTGAAGGTACAAACTTGCACGCCATTAT